GGGGACATTACTCCATTAGGCAGCTTTCTGGTGACCTATTAATATTATCCATCCATCCATCCATCCATCCAGTGTAGTCTGCACCAGACTTAGGCTACTGGAGGAATTAGAGGAGAAGATGTAAGTGACAGTAAGAAAAAAAGAATATCTTTGTGCTTTATTCCATCTGAAATTGATCCTGAATGTTGAAAAAAAAAAAGTGATTATTTTTTTCAATCAGCAATCAAAAAGTTCACTCTATATGTCAAAAATGAAAATAATTAATTTTCTCCTTTTCAGCTATACTAAATGTCAAGTGACAGATTTCCATCTTCACATATCTATTTATGTGCCTTAGCTGGTCTAATTATTACCAGTGTCCTCTGGAGCCGAGTAATAACTGTTATTGGCAGCAGTAATACACGGCTGAAGAAAAAAATTAATCAGCTCCAGGCTTAACTCCTGCTACTAAAAAAGTTTCTCATGATCCTTCTCTTTAATGAACTTGGAAAAAAAAAAGATTATAAAATGCTAGACAATTTGTATTACGGAACTAATAAAGCAAAATTCAATGTAACACCTCTTAAAAGGGAAAGCTTGCCAAAAAAAAGTGTCTCCAAATTTATTAAAACTACGTGCATCTTGCTTTAACAAAGCTTATCCTCTTAGTCAAGCAGATGGGGTAATTAAATTCCTAATATACAACATTCTAAGAAAGGTGCAGAGAAGTCCAAGGATCAAACAGCATGGAAATGACAATGGTGATGGATATGGGCTTCCCAAACTGATCAATCTACTTGAGAGTTCCCGTGTGAAGTAGGAAATAGAGACATCTGAGCATCCAGGAGCTTTCTCTCAGCAAACCATGGCTCCAGCAAAGCAGTTTCTTCATCTTGTATGGCTGGAAACACTTCCATGCAGCTGTGCCATGTCAGAAACTCCAACATCTCCTCTTTAGCTTGCAAGATTTCCAGCTTGTCTAATTAGACCTTGGGAGCCTCTCTGATGCCCAAGGTAGATTTTCTGTTATTGTAGTAGTCCTGATACACAGAAAGGATAGTTTGTTGTCAGTGATATGAGGAGTGTGTGGTGACAATGCATTGTCCCCCATTTGTTCAGAATTTCCATGTTTTTAAAAAACGTTTTGTTAGATCCTGTGATAAAGGGCCTAATATACATGAAACAAAAATTATACTGGCATCCCACAGATACTAAAAGAACTTCTGTGGGACCTGGTAAAGGGACAGTTATTAGAATGTAATCTTCAATAAAATCGGAGACTGCAGTACATGCAAAGTTATTGTAGTATTATCTGTTGTGATGTGAAATATTTTGCAGAAGAACGTGATTTTAAACAAAGTGGTTGTCGGGCTTTTTTTTTATTGTGGGGAAAGTTCATTGTACAAGTGCAGCCTGTGGCCTGTCTTTCTTGCATCATCCTTATCTTCCTGAATAGGAGCTGCAGGTTATTTCAGAGTATCAGCCTTCTATAGAAAGGAGAGATGGATGAAAAGACAATAGAATCTCTTCTTGAAGAGAATAAGATGTTCTCTTGGACTTCATATGGACTTTCCAGTGCAAATCTCAGAGTCTACAGCCATGGCAAATTACTCTGCTGGTTTTTGGCAGTGTCTCAGAGAGGAGAGGGGAAAGATCATGGTGGCTAAGAGAAAAAGAGGATCTGTTTCTATCTCCTGAACCTGTGGGAACAGAGAGAAACTGCCTGTCTTGCCTTATTCCAATGACGGAGAGAAAAGATATTAAAAAAAAAAACCAAACAATTTTTTTTAAAGACTAGGTAAACATCCTGTTTATGGTACAGCTGATTTTCTTTTTCTGTCCATTTCATGCCCAGATGCAGCTATGTTGGTGCTATCCCTGAAACTCACTGTGGCACTGAGCCCCAAGTACAGTGGCCATGCTGGCAGTTGGATCCTGCTGTGCTCAGTTTGGGTGGCAGAGGGAGACTGGAATTGTCTTGCTCCATCTGCATGCCCAGGGATGCCAGGAGCAGCTGGAAACACCACTTATGTCCATCCCTGTAGCAACTCACCACTGTTGTGGAAAGTGTTGGTTCCCGGTAGCAGTGCATTAAATGGTATGTTGGCAAAGATAGCATGGCATTCCCTTCCATCATCTCCAAGCAGGTCTCCTCTGGCCTTACCTTACTTCTTTTTAGGTCTTTAGTCAAAAAATGCTCCCTTGATATCAGAGTCAGATACATAAAAAACCTTCAAGAGAATAAAATCTCCATAGCTGCTAGAGAAACACCTTTGCACTTACCTTGCAGTGCCATCTACAGTCGGAAAAGTCTTGCGGCACTCAGATGACACCGCAGCGTTGTTCAGTTAGCAGGCAATTCTGCAACAAAAACTGCGGCACCTCAGTTTTCTTTGCAAGTTGAGCTTGTGGAGTGCAGGCTTGGAACTCGAGGCATTTCTCTTGACCCAATTTCAGCTGTGCCAGTGGCTTGCTAAATATTGCATCCGGCAGTGGGAAGAATATTCATCCTTCCTCACTCCCACCATGGTCTGTCTCCATGTACAATCTAAATAAGCACCTCTACTGGGACTGCTGAAAAGAGGAACTTAACTTTTCTATTTTAAATTGTCCCTTGTATGAAGCTGTTTTTTGATCATTGACTCCTCAGCTAAACAGAATCAGAGTGGCGTGGGTTGGAAGGAACAATAAAAGTCATCTCATTCCAATCTCCTGTCATGGGCAGGGACAACTTCCACTAGACCAGATGGCTCAGAGCCTCATCCAACCTGGCCTTGAACACTTCCAAGGATGGGACATCCACAGCTTCTCTGGGCAACCTGTTCCAGGGCCTCTTCACAATCCCGTAAATTATTTCTTCCTATTGTCTAATCAACTCTCAGGTTGAAGGCATTCCCCATTGTCCTATCACTACTTGCCCGTGTAAATAGTCTCTCTCCTTCTTTCTTGCAGCTTCCTTTTAGGTACTGGAGGGAAATAGAAGGTGGGATGCAAATAGGACTCTCTAAAGTGGGTTGAAACCTATGAATGGAAGGCTGTATAAGAAACAGTAAATATTTCAATACCTAAAATTTGAGACACAGTTTTGTTTTAGTGTGGGATGAAAGTGCAGATGAAGATACAAGTAAAATTAATAAATGGGTGAACTTCCTTTTTCCATAATTTTTAAAACATAGGATTATAGAAGACTTTGGGTTTAAGGAACAGAGCTTAAACATCATCTCATTGCAGCCCCCTGGCATATGCAGGGACACCTTCCACTAGACCAGGTCAACCCTTATCCAGCCTGGCCTTGACCAAACATTTCCAGGGATGGGGCATTCACAGCTTTTCAGAGTGACCTGTTCCAGTGCCTCGACACCCTCACAGTGTAACATTTCTTCATAATACTTAATCTAAATCTACTCACTTATAGTTTGAAACCATTAGACTTTGTCCTATCATTCCCTGATAATCACTTTCCATCTTTCTCTTAGGCCTCTTTAGGTACTGCAAGGCTACTATAAGGTCTTCTTGGAGCTTTCTTTTCTCCAGGCTGAACAGCCCAAACTCTCTCAGCCTATGTGCATAGAAGAGGTGTCCCAGGCCTCTGATTGTCTTCATGGCCCTCCTCTGGACTCACTCCGAGAGGTCCAACATATGCCAAATTGCAGGGGAAAAACCACAAAAACTGAAAACATTAATTTTTCTTCTCATGGGTAATGTCAACCTACCCAGCTGTCGTTTAGGCCCACTGTAAATAGATCATACATACATTCATTGTATTTCAGACAAAATCTATCAGAAAACATATAGATTTTTTTTCCCAATTAACACCTTCAAGGAATTTTTTGATTAATTGTTTTCAACATTAAGTCTAGCAACTTTGATTAAAGTGTTTGAGCTTCTGCTAAGGATTCTAATAGCAGAAGTTAAGCAGCACGATTTCTATGAACTGCCATTGTAATGAGCATAAATGGAAATGATAATTTCTATTATTTGTTCTGGTTTCACAGAGGATGCCCAAGATTTGATGGATTTCATACACTATTCTGATTTCTAAGTTTTAATAAAGTAATTCCAAGTTTGATGTAATTGTTTCTGATTAGTTTTTAATTTTGTTTATTTTCAGGGATGAAATAGTTTTCTGTCTCCTCTTCTAGCACTGATTATGCAGTGTGAGCATCCAGTACAACACTGCTGCTACAAAGGGGTGTTTTACTAGTACTGTAGCCCAAAAGGCCATTAATGTCTATGAGACAGCATGGATTGAACAACACTACTACAAAAAACCACTCAACTGTCTCCTGTTTTCCTTCCCAAATGAACAGTAAATTCAACTACCTGACTCCATGCCCTGGGACTAAGACCTCTAAAAAAGGGAGTCCAAGTAATACAATTGTAGTGTATCTCACTGTACTCATAGTTGTATGTCATTTTTGTAGAACTTTGCTCCCAAGAATCAAGCCAGCTCTTATCCTTACATTCATTCTACACTCTTCAGTGCTGGGCAGCCGTGGATTACATGTAGATAACATCCCTATAGATAGTCATGGCTGTCTATAGGATATGCCTCTCTCTCTTCTCACTGGGGAGGTACATCTCATGTCCCAGCTCGTGAACCAAGGTGATGATCCACATCTTCATGTCAGTAGGCTGGAGTTTTGCAATGTAGTAGACACACCCAAGTACAGTAGCAAAAACATCAGTAAAATGAAGCTACAGGGGAAAAAAGTGGTTTTTTTCCTCCTTTTCTTTTTAAGTACACAGGGGGTTAAATAGTTCCTGTTAGCTCTGCTGGGGCATTCTCTTGCAGCTTCCCAGCACAAATTCATAGACCTTATGCTCATATAGTTTGACTTGCTGTGGCAGACTAGCTTAAATACGTCCTCAGAAAATACCAATCTCCCTTTATGGTTTCATTACACAGATGTGCAAAGGGCAAATCTTTCTTAGCAACTGAACTAAAAGCATGAACCTCTTCACCCAGAGCAACATCATCTCCCGTGCAAACTGCTAGATGTATTCCTCATCTATTCTGGATGGAAGAAGCCCTCAAGGGGCCCCCAGTGAGACCTTCCAAGGTACAAACCTGCGGGCCGAGCATTAACCCGTGTGAAGAAGAGGTTGCGGCGCTCTCAAGGGCATCGCACATATCGCGCCACCAGATGCCGCTGTCGAGCCACGTTTGGTCTTTGATCCCACTTACCCAAAAACAAAAGAACGGCGAGATAAATTTATTTCTAGGTAGTGTTGTGGATAGCCTTATTCTTAAAACGTGAGGGGAAAATACAGTCTAAGAAACGAAAATTTCTAGCGAATATGGTATACTTTCCTGAAGTAGAACCAGGGAAACATCTTTTCAGGCTACTGCAAGTAAATGAGTCCATGTTGTATTTAGCTGTTTAAATAGCTATGGTACTATTTAGAGACAGAATTTCATTCTGTCAGCTACTTGCAAGCCTACTCAAACATTACAGAATCAAAACTAGGAAGAGAAGTTGGCATGTGAGATTTCTGTTTCATTTGGCTAAGAAAAACCATTAGTTCTTCCCTAGTTTTGCCAGTCCTCTTACCTGGGAATATATATTCTTTCCTCACTGAGCTGAGAAACTTCTATTCTTTCTCATATGAAAGACAGCTAATAACCAACAGCCAGGAGAAAAAGAAAGGCACTGATAAGCTGAACCATTCTTTCACCTTCTTTTTCTGATAATGAAGAAAATAAGAAGTTTCCAGTTACTCTGAAGGTATAATGTGGAGTAGGAGTACTCCATCCAACTATTTGATTGGGACTACAGCAAACTTGCAATCCTGTTGCTAGATCTTGGAAACAAGTTATCCCTTAATCATGTGCAGTTCTCCTGACCCAGGAGAATGTGTTCATATGGTCCTACATTTATTTGGTTTTGTAGGTACCTGAAAAGCTATCCTTTTGCTAAATAGTTTTCACCTCCTGCCCAAGGTACTTGCAGGCAGCAGGACCATTTCCAAGCTTGGATGGGTTAGCAGAACAGGGAGACTGACCTGAAGCACCAACTGAGAAAGAGTGACACTCTGGAATAATTCTGATGCTGTTTTGATCAAACACGGAACTGTTTTAATTTGACATCATTTGAAAGTGAAATAGAAAGACTTGTGCTCAGAATCTATAAGTGGCAATTCAGTGAATGTTCAGTACTTTGAAAAATGAATTAAAATCTGTAATATTTGAAATTCAAAATGATATTAAAAATGCAAAAACATTCATTCATTCTTCATTTTTAAAAGTAATTTTTACCATGCATACATCTTCCCTAGCTGTTTCTGCTTAAGAGTTTGGTCAGCAGTAAATTGCTTGCAGAACATGTGGCTGCTACTTCTTGAAAAACAGCCTTATCAGCTTGCTGCTTGCTGCTTTTAAATTTTATTTTTTTTAACAGAATAAACTTTTCAGGGCAGATTATGTAGAGGATTGGATTAAGTTTTTACTAAGCCAGTATCTTCTCAGATCAGTGAAGATATTGTAGTCCCACATCACTAGATCTACACTGAAGTGATGTGGATTTCAAAAGTACTCCTCTTTTTAATCCAAATCAGACCAGATCTCGTTTTCAGCAGAGCCTCACAAACCTGCTCGAGCCTAACAGAACAACTGCAGCACAGACGTGGCAATAAATGTGTAAGACAGAGGACAGGATGGAGAGGCAGGTATCTTGTGGGCCAGCTATGCAAAAAGGAAGAAAACATGGAATACACTACAACACAGCTGTGTGTTACACAGCTCACAGCATAACTGTAGCATCTTTCTTATCAGCAATAACACTGCAATAATAGCATAATACTGTCCAGACTGCAAATGGATGTTTTAGCAGAGGTATGTAGCTTTTTTTTTTTAACGTTCCAAGGTAAGTGAGAAAATACTTCAAAATCACTGTGAGAGCCAGGAGGCTTCAGGATGGCTCACCATACAGAGTTTCAGCTCTTCACCTAATGAGAGTGTAAATGGAATAGAGACCAAGAAGAGTATAGACTCCTTGTCCTGTGAAATAGTACATGAAAAGATTATGTCAAAAAAAATCACAGATTAAAATTGATTTTAAAATGAAGAAGGACTGGTAGCAATTCTCAGCTATAGCTGCTGGGTATCAGTTCATCCACCAATTACATGGTTAAGAAAACCCCAAGGGCCTGCCCTGCTGGATGGCTGTGGTGATGGGATCCCTGGCTATGAGACCTTGCAAGCCCCAGGGGGTACCCTGCCACTCCAGCCCCCAGGCCCACTGTGTCCTGACATTTGCTTTATCTTGAGGAAACTCGTCATTTCTTTCTGAATATACCCATTTGTATTTCAGGTATTCTTCCTTATTCTCTCAGCTCTATTTTTATAGAAAATAATAGAAAGAAAGAAACAAAGATCATTTTTCATGCTAAAGCTCATTAAGCAGACTTGGTTCAGCTCCCAAGCAAAAAGAGAAGGAGAAAAAGCAACGAAGGAGCCTGTTTTTCCCCAAAATTCAATAGCATCCTTAAAGAGCCAACCTGTGAAAAATTATTTTTGTCTTTTAGTTGCCTTAGTAAAGAGTTCGCAGCAATGTCTCTTATGTCTTGGCTCAGCTATATGGCAGCACAACAAAATCTTTATGGTGTTCTTACCAATGCAGGCACGTTTTATACTTAGTACCCTTTCACCAAAGCACAGAAAAACAAGGCTGGGGAAAAGATACTCAGAGGTGGTATTCTGAGGTAAGAGACCCATTAAGGAATTTTTAAGTGACTGGTGTTGCACAGCTGTGGAAGGGATGAGACACAAAATACAATTTCTGTAATAAACAGGCCCAAATAGGCAGGATTTAATGATATCATGTAGTCAATATGATGATTCACTAGTTACTCTGTAAGGACATTGCTATTACAAGCCCTCCTCAGGGTCCTTTTCTTTCTGCAGCCTGCTTTTATATGACTTAAAGCTTTGTATTCAGTCTTTTTCAGCCTGAAAGATTACAGCCAGATTTTTCTCAATTCTGTCCAACAAAGAGCTCTGTATTACCAGTACAGGCACTACCCTTGCACATCAGCGTTTGCCATGTCTTGCACATGGCCAAACACCAATGCCAGCATAGCTTTATGCAAAGGACAAGCTGAAGGGGAAGAAAATACAGAAAACATCTTCTATAAAAGCAGCTTCTGAAAACTAAGAAGCTTAATTTGTCTGCTACAGTCTTTTAAGGAATATCTCCCTTTAATAGCTAGTAAATCCCCGATCTGAGACTCAGCTGCTCATTGCATAAAAATGGCATATGTCACTGAACCTTCAGATGCCTCAGCACCTACAGATATTTTAAACTCATAAGCACTCACAAGAAGTTGTGTCCAGATGGCATAAGACTTATACATAGTTTATCTGTCTCCTTGGGACTTGATTATCTCCTGTCTTGCTCTTTAAATTGCTTTCACTGTTTGTATCTTCTAATTTATGTCTCTGTAAAGCATTGCCATTTTGTTAAGGTGAACCATACACACACCACTAAGTGGTTGCATAGGATATAAAGTAGCAGAAGATTAGGTCTGTGGTTCCAATCTGTCCTGCAGAAGGAAAAAACAATCTAGAGATGAAAGGACAATAGGAATTACCAGTTGCTAGGACAGAAGATAAAAAAAACCATTATTCTCCTATCAGTCAAGAAAGTAGGAAAAAAAATCCGGTGTAACCTCATGCACTTCATCTCAGATTGCTTTTCTCAGATCCTAAAATGTAGCTAGCTACGTAATGAAAGAAAGTCCATTAGAATGTTTTAAGGAGTTCTTCCTGAAAGCATATGAACAAATGTCATCCTGTTACCTTCAACAGAGTGCTCAGTCACTCTAGCAAACAGCAGTAATTCATTCTATAGCACACTTCCTGGCACAGCAAGCACAGCAGTGCCTATAACAATATACCTGAAGTGCTAGGCATTTGCCTCATGCACCTGAAAAACTGGTAGGGAAGTAATTTCTTTTCTTAGTGCAAGTGAGAATGCTACCAGTGCATCTCTCGTGCTGTGAGAGGAGTACTGAAAATGTTAATGCTTCTCAATGAGGAAACCAGGCTACCAACAGCTGCCTGTTGTGCTCCTTGCACAAGGAGAGAGGAAAGCATTCCTTGGTCTCCTGGGGAACATGACAGCCACCCCATAAAACTACAGCTGCTGGAAAGAGTTCAGGTTTGTGACTCTGTAATGTATCTAATTGGACTTTTTTACTGTGTCTGTAGAGCTGTACATGCAGCAGTAGACATTTATAATGTTTGTGCATAGTCCAAATTTACATATATGCAGCTTATAAAATAATTATATATACCAGTGCTAGTCAGACTTTCTACATGCTGCTAAGCAAATGGGGCTGACTCAAAGCACTACAGATATGACCCTTTTCACAACCCCTTTTACCTCAGAATACTTTTTTGTCTCCCATTAGATCTATCCCCCCTGCCAAATGATATCACCATTTTAATTTTATAAAGCAAGATAAACATATAAATCCCAATTCTCCTTACAAAGAATTTAGATAAAAATGAAAAAAGGGGGGAAAAAGCCTGCACAAGTTTGTAACAGTCAGCTTGTCAAAAATGCACGTTTTGAAGCTGTAGTCTGAGAAATCATGATACTAAAAAAACTCATTCAGCTGAGTTCATAAATCTGATGATAACTGTGAAACATTAACACTAAATAGATCTGCTACACTGTCTAGAGGCTGCTCTTTATGGTGAGTTAAAAAAAAGCATTGGCCATCTCTGGGGTGCTCAATACATTATCACAGAAGGTTTTAACAGCTGTAAGGCTATTTTGTCCAGAAGGAGAGTATCAAAGAGCCATGGAAGTTATAGATACATTTCGGACACCAAAGTACCAAGAAGAAACAACATCATTAATAAAATGGTGTGATCTAAGAGATGCAATCTAGTGAATAACTTTAACTAGGATCCCAGAAAAGTTCAGAAATGGAAGTGAGAAACTAGTAAGGAAGATGAATGGGTTAAAACAGCTCAGCACTAACTTTGCTTGAATGGAATCAGTGCCTTCCAGAGGAAAAACGGAGGATGGTTTCTTTAAAAAAAAGTACCTGCAATCCTTTTTTATTCATTATCTGTTTTCATAAATTAAAATTATCTCAAGGTGTTGAGAAATAAGCACTGCATTATTCCAAGGATCTATAATTTTGTTACTCTTACACTTAATAAGAGGCAAGTAGAAATATTTCAGTCGATACAAATGCTAGTACAGGGCTGATTTTCTTTCTCTGTCTGTATAGACAGTGCCC